ACTCTAGCAGTTCAGGTGGGTGTGGGCAGGAGGCTCAGTAATGACAGGGTGGTCAAGGCCAGGACAGAACCCTGTTCTTCCCTGCTGTGAACCAGCCAGACGAGTCCAAGACAACTGCAGGTAACAATGCTGGGTTGGGTTTATACAATGGTTCTCCAACTTTCTGGTCCCAGAACCTCTTTATATGTTAAAAAATTTTTGATAATTTTGAACACCTTTTATTTATATGGATTATATCTATTGATCTATCCTGTATTCGCTGTTAAAATTAAGAAATTTTTTTTTTTTTTGAGATGGAGTTTCGCTTTTGTCGCGCAGGCTGGAGTACAATGGCACACGATCTTGGCTCCCTGCAACCTCCGCCTCCTGGGTTCAAGTGATTCTCCTGCATCAGCCTCCCAAGTAGCTGGGATTACAGCAAGTTTTTGTATTTTTAGTAGAGGAGGGTTTCACCGTGTTGGCCAGGCTGGTCTTGAATTCTTGACCTCAAGTGATCCACTTGCCTTGGCCCCCCAACATACTGGGATGACAGGTGTGAGCTACCGTGCCTGGCCAAAATTAAGAAATTTTCTAGCCGGGCGCAGTGGCTCACACCTGTCATCCCAGCACTTTGGGAGGCCAAGGCAAGCAGATCATGAGGTCAGGAGTTCAAGACCAGCCTGACCAACATGGTGAAACCCCGTCTCTATCAAAAATACAAAAAAATAGCCAAGTGTGGTGGCATGTGCCTGTAATCCCAGCTACTCAGGAGTCTGAGGCAGGAGACTTACTTGAATCCAGGAGGCGGAGGTCACAGTGAGCTGAGATCGCTCCACTGCACTCCAGCCTGGGCGACAGAGCGAGACTCTGTCTCAAAAAAAAAAAAAAAAAAAAATTCTAAATACAAGCACATAATCTATTCTTGGCATTACCGGTCACAATGATATCACACATGATGCAACTTCAGGAAAATTCTACTGTATATCCATGACAGAATAAGAGTGAAATGGACAGTAAACCAAGATTGGTGCCACTGCACTCCAGCATGGACAATACAGCAAGATGGTTGCAAAAAAAAAAAGTTAAAAAAAAATTTTTTTTTTTGTATTTTTAATAGAGATGGGGTTTCACCATGTTGGCCAGGATAGTCTCCAACTCCTGTCCTCAGGTGATTTGCCTGAGGTGATCCGCCTCTGCCTCCCAAAGTGCTGGGATTACAGGCGTGAGCCACTGCGTCCAGCCTAAAAATTTGCTGTGTGCACAGATAGATGGAGGCCTTCCTTAAAAAGATGTGAAGCACCAAAGAAGTTAGACTGGGGGCTTATATTCCATTTTAACAACTGGTAGTAAATTGTGAAGAAGTGACAAGATGAAGGAAAAGGGGTTTGGGCCTCTAGGGACAGTACTTTGTGGGCAGGTAAACATATGGAGAAAACTAATGGAAGATAAGGTCAATTTCATAAGGCTGGTTTGTGCAGACCCATCTTGGTAGCAACTTTCTGTTTCCAGTGGTAAGGGTGATTGTTCTGGTACGGGAGAGGGGAGGGCGACACCTTCACAAAGGGAAATTTAGGCAGATGAGGTGGGCAAAGAGCTCTTTCTTCATTTACTGCTTCTATTTATTTATTTATTTATTTTTCTGAGACGGAATCTCGCTCTGTCGCCCAGGCTGGAGTGCAGTGGCCAGATCTCAGCTCACTGCAAGCTCCGCCTCCCGGGTTTACGCCATTCTCCTGCCTCAGCCTCCCAAGTAGCTGGGACTACAGGTGCCCGCCACCTCGCCCGTCTAGTTTTTTGTATTTTTTAGTAGAGACGGGGTTTCACCGTGTTAGCCAGGATGGTCTCGATCTCCCGACCTCGTGATCCGCCCGCCTCGGCCTCCCAAAGTGCTGGGATTACAGGCTTGAGCCACTGCGCCCAACCCATTTACTGCTTCTTAATTGCCTTCAGCTAAAAATATTTCTTCTGCTAAAGTGGCCTATTTGGGGTGATGTATTCTGACCCCCTTCAGTAAATAATAATAATAATAATAATAATAATGGACAATACCAGATCCTGAATGAACAGTACCTAAGGTTCTCCCCTCTGGCACACTCTGGCAGCCTTAAAGTTCAGTAGCCCTGAACTTTAGTGTCTGTGCCAGGTCAGGCAGTCAGGGAAACTGCCTGAGCAGAATGTGTGGCCTGGCCAGGTGCAGGGTATGGGGGGCTGTGTGAGGTGCCACGCTTCATGGGGGCAGCAGAGGAAACAGAAGAGCAAAGACCAGCAGAGCGCCTCGCTGCCTGCTCTCCCACTGCCCCTGCCCAGGCAGCAGGGCGGCACCCTGGCAATCAGAGAGCAGCAGTGCTGCTCTGTGGGCCTGGGGGAAAGCGGGGATTTGAGGGACTGCCCAGAGGCAAAGGACACATAGTGGCCGCAGCCTGGAGGGGTGTGGGAGGCCCCTAGACTGGGAGACAGGAGTGAAGCAAGGGGCTGGTGGGAATGAGCAGAGAAGGTGGACTCCCAAGGACCCAGTTCCTGAGATGCCACAGAGGCAAGAGCCGAGTTCCAGGAGGAGGAAGGGTGTTTCTTCCTTAGTGAGGGGACAGCTCCTGGCCCCCACTGCAGGTCTCAACCTTGGCTCCTTGAACCCCCCCATCCCCCCAGGCAGCTCTTGGCTTTGTGTGGAGCCACCGTTCCCTTGGTCAGGACTAGCAACCTTCTCTGACCCATCCAGTCACAACAAATTTCTTCTTCTTCTGGGAGTCCATGTGCTTCTCTTTAGCACGTATTCTATTATTTTTTTCATTCCTTTTTACAGACAGGAACTCACTCATTACCCAGGCTGGTCTTGACCTCCTGGACTCGAGTGATCCTCCTGCCTCGGCCTCCCAAGTGCTGGGATTACAGGCGTGAGTTCTTTTCAGTGGGTCAAATCTATCTCTCTGACTATGTTGTCCCTCGTGAGGGCAGCTATCTTGTCTATTAGCACTTTTCATCCCTTCCAGTGCCCAGCCCTGTTCCTTTTACATCATAAGGGCTTCACTGATGGCCATGGAAGTAATCGACACCTCCATATTATTGCTCTCTATCTCCTTCACCCCACAGTCTCTGCAGAAATTCCCACATCTTTTTTTTCTTTTTTCTTTTTTTGAGGTGGAGTCTTGCTGTGTCGCCCAGGCTGGAATGCAATGGCGTGATCTCAACTCACTGCAACCTCTGCCTCCCAGGTTTATGCCATTCTCCTGCCTCAGCCTCCGAGTAGCTGGGACTACAGGCATGCACCACCACACCTGGCTAATTTTTGTATTTTTAGTAGAGACGGGGTTTCACCATATTGGCCAGGTTGGTCTCGAACTCCTGACCTCGTGATCCACCCGCCTCAGCCTCCCAAAGTGCTGGGATTACAGGCGTGAGCCACCGTGCCCGGCCCCTTTTTTTTTTTCCCTTCAGTTTTTACAGTTTTATTTAAACACAAAACGTGCACATGAGCTGTCTACTCATTTTCTTTGCTGCGCAGCCTGGCGTTGGGGTTGGTGACTCTGATGGCCAGCTGGGTAGCTCTTCCCGTGATGGCTTTGCGGTTCTTGGAGGAAATGTGGGCAATGTCGGCACAGGGAGATCTGTTGCACATCAGCAGCACTTCCAGCTCCTTGATGTTGTGGACCAGCAACTTCCGGAAGCCACCGGGCAGCATGTGCTTTGTTTTTTTGTTGCTCCCATAACCAATGTTGGTTGTCAAGATCTGGCCCTTGAACCTTCTACGAACCCCTTTGTCAGTACCTCTGGGTTTCCGCCAGTTACGCTTAATTTTGACGTATCAGTCAGACTGGTGCCAGATGAACTTTTTGGTTGTCTTTTTGACCATCAGGCTTCACAAGGGGTCTGGGGGCGGCCATGATGCTGAGGAGGAGATGGCTGTCACCTCTATAGGCAGCGCCAAGGAAGAGAGAGGGCCCTTTTTTTTTTTTTTTTT